CCGCCCCGCCTCTTCATGGTCGCCACTAGTCACACTGCTCCATGATCTTTATCATCCCTCTAATAAAGCTATGTATGATCCTACCTCGACTACAGGGATTTCCCCCAATTTTCCATTCCTGACACCCCGGACTGAAGAAATACTTCCTAACTCCCTGTGATTCATCGAGTCGTCAATTTCAACTGTGACCCCTTGTTGCTTTGTTCCATCTCTGTAACATCCTGTCTTTTCTAACTTGCAGTTTCCTCTCGGTTTTTAATGTCGTTATATCCCCCCTGTCTCTCCTGTCCTCAGTTTCGTCAGGTCTATTTCCCTTAAAACCTTCCAGGTGCTACACAACCGTGCATTCAGAATATGACGACTTTTTTCGGTTGCAGCGTTGCCAGATACTGAAAACTGAAAAACCTTTCGTTTCAAACACATTTGTTATAAGAGGATTTCACGGAGAGCTGTATAGAGCGAAGTTTTAAGCCGAGACAGCTAGTAACAGGTGAGGCAACTTTTGGAAAGGTCAGTCCTCTGGTCCTGACCATATAAATTATCTTTTGCATAAACACAACACTTTTTAAATGTTGTCCAACTTTAATGTTTATTTTCGTGAAATTTCATGAACATTTTATAAAGGGGTTTTTTTCGTGGATTTAAAATATTTTGGTTTCCTAAATAATCTGTTCGTTTCTATGTAATCTGATTAAGTTGAAAGTTAAAATTTATAAGCAACATGTAAAATAATAATTGAACCTGTTGAATAAACTGGAAGAAAATATGTTAGTGTACGTGAAATGGTATACAAAATCGACAAGATGAATTTAGACACGTGTGCAACATCTGGTTATCTTTGTAGACGTGTCGCCAACCAGTGGCTTTATCAGTACTAAAGACGTCTTTTGAATATAGTTCTATAGTCTTTCAATATTGTCCTTGTATTGATGGCGAAATGTCTACAAATAAAGATACCCGGGATGTTACCCATGTTCGGGTCTTCAGATAAGTTATTGTTGTCATTATCATCACTCTCACTGTTGATGGTAATAAGTGATTATTTGTAGCTACAATAGCAAGATTTCAGTTTGTGTTGTCTCATCTTCAATTTTTAGACTATCGTAGTTTTAGATTTTCAATGATTGTACAGTAGCACAGAGTACAGTGTCATGTAAATAATTTCCTTGTTGTACCACTGCAAAGTATTCTATATGTTTTCCCTTTAGTTATCTTGCTTAGTTTAGTGCTATGGCCGCTCACTGTGTCAGTTGAAGTTAATAAATCTTCCTCCTGGTTGAAGGTGACAATTCTATCACAATCGGGTAAGCTCCGATTTTTTCAGCTCTTATTAGTAGTTTCCATTTTATTGATCTAGGTCAGGTTTTTTTTTTTTACACAGGGTTTTGACAAAGGTAGGCTAAGGATCCCCAGTTATTGACAAGCTATTTACAGGCTAAAAGCTGTTAACTACATCAGCTCAATATCATTTTCAATATCTGTTTTTTTTCTCTCTTTTTAGATGAAGATTTAATACATTGCTGTATATTGTAATTTGATCTAAAGGAAGATGTGACGTTTTTTTTTACATTTACCTGTTTGTAGTACTAAACACTATTTTAAATGTGTTTTAATGTTGTTTTTCTTCTAGTTACTCCTAAATAACAGCTACTAGGTCCTTTCCCTTTTTTTTTGAATAATACTGTTTTAAATTCTTCTTCGTCCAGCTTTCACTTAACCCGTTACTTTATATAATCTTTGTGTATGTTATTCCTTATCCATCTCATACTCACTCTCTCAATCAGTCCAGTTTTTCCTGCAGTGAGTCATTTTATTCCTTTTTTTTCCTATAATTTTTTTAATCTGAGAAAAAGTATTCCTTAAAACCTCTGCCATCTCCGAGTGAGGGTCACCCAAAATGTCTTGTGTTGCCAGAAGTGTGTTGCCGTTACAATTCGTTGATTCTCCAAACTGCAAGATTCGAGCATACCTAACCCATTTTATCCTCAAGCCCTTCATAAGTTTTACCTTGCTCACACTCCGGCCATAAATTAAAAAAAAAATCCTCTGCTACCTCAACAATCTATAAACCACCTTTACTCCGCCCCTTCCAGCTCTTCATACCCACATAAGAGCTACTTTACTCTGAAACAGTATACTTTTCTCTTCCTAAGATACATCTGTCTCCACAGACGTCTGAAAGCATCACCAACCCCTTTTTTCCTGGTCAGTTTACTTCTTTCATTGACCAATCTTACGACAATTCACTTCCCAGAACTTTTGTTTTTCTCCTCATCTTGCTCTTTTATCTGTTCACTTTTAATTTTTATTACATAACCTCCCAAACTCGTCCACTAACATTTGTAACTTGTCTTCAGAATCCCCCAAAAGAACTGTCATCTGAAAAGAGCAGATGTGGCAACTCCCACACTGTATAGAATTCATTATCCTTTTATCTCGCTCCCCTTGTATTCAATTATTTTACAACCTCCATTTGTAAATGTTAATGCATCCTTGTCGAAAGCCTACACTTACTGGAAAAATAATCCCCCCCCCCCACTTTTCTACATATCCTAATTTGAGCTTTATTATCTGCATACATGCTTTCTTCTACAGTAGTGTGAATATTAATCGAGACACTGATGAAATAAGACATGTATTTGGGAAACTAATGTTTATTTGAAAAATACACGGCAATAATATGAGAAGATATGACTATCCTTTACTATAATAAGCATTTCTTCACGCTTTGGCATAGAATCGAACAATGCTGAACACATTTTGGTAAGCTCTTCGTCGTGGTACCAGGTCCTAATAACAGAGCAATTAGCTTCTCCACAGTTGAACAGTCCTGTTTTGCATTCCTGCGTTTGACTATTGTCCATAGATTCTCAGTTGGGTTGAGGTCAGGAGAGTTTCCAGGACATTTAGAAAAGCTTCGAAGAATGTCAGTATTTCTGTGGATGTGTGGCATGGAGCAAGATCCTGCTGGAAAAGGCTTTCTTCATCAGGAAAGTCTCTGTCCACACTGGAAAGCAAAATGCAGTGTTAGTGTTCAGCAGAGGTTTGTGGATATACGGAGGTGGGTGCGGGAGGGAAGAAGAGCAATTGGTGGAATGATGAGCTAGAGAGAGCAATAAGAGAAAAAAGTTAGTATATGAGAAGTTTTATACAAAGTGGAAGTGATATGAGGAGGGATATGCAAAAGTAGAGCAGATCAGAGTGAGTGACATGGTGTCGACAATTTTTTTCTGAGAATAGGAGTCCCCTTATAGGGAGGCTCCTTGGCACACAGCCCCGCAGTCTGAGAAATTAGACCTTCCTCAGATCGAACCTAATTACCCCCAATTTACCCTTCCCTTTCCTCTTCGTCTCCCTATCCCTCCACTTTCCCTTTCTATTTTTGCCTTTGAGGTTGTTTCCTTAGGCTTTGCTGTTTCTAGACCAGAGAAGGGGTTCTGGGGGTCCATCTCCTTATGTTGAGGTTCTTTGTGGTAGTGTAGTTTGCTGTGGAATCTGGATCATCTAGAGATCCCCATCCCTCTCCGGTCTACCGAGGGGGGAGGGGGGCTCCAAGTGTCTTTAAGGTGATGGGTGTATCTCTGGAGGGCTGCCTGTCTGATTCCAGGTGGTGGTAGCCGAAGGAGGAATGCTTTGTGGCGGGTTTCCGACCGCCCTCCCTTTTGTCTGACGAGGCTTGGAAGATGCGAGATTGCTGGTTTGCTGACTTGAAGGGTAGGGTATGGCATAGGTTTCATGCCGCATCTGCACTTTTGGTTCTGCTGAGGTTGTCCTCTTGGGCAGGGAAAGGGAGACTTGCAGTTCTTTCCCCTTGCGAGCTACCCCTTCTTGCTTCCCTCCTTTTTTTTTATCTTAAAAACAAAAGAAAAGTGATATAACCATGGAGTCTTAAGTCCATGAACCACCACCACCTCCTGGGCTCCTTCCTGTAGCAGTACCCTCTGACGACCTTGCCTTGTTACCGGACCATTCTTCGGACCATTCTACAGCCCCTGTATCTTTTGTGGGTGACATTTTGTCCCACACTCAAGATAGAGGCTCAGCCTGACTCATTTGACACCTCTGACCTCTACATGTCTTAGACTGTGCTTCTGGCCTCTCCTCAAATGGTGCGACGGTTTTCAGATTGCTTGCCCCCCTCAAAACGGACCACCTCCGGTCCTGTATTTAAACTACTGCGACCTTCTTCTGATGACATTGTTTCGACTCTCTCTGCTCAGAAAAGACCAACACGACAGTCACTTCCTTTATATGCTACGCATTATAGGACACAAAGGACGAAGTTTTTCACTACAACCAACATCTTCAGAATATCTTTCTTATCATAGTATCAGCAAGGCGCTCCTACGCCATGTTGGTCGCAATATTCCGTTTCATGCTTTCCAGAGCGGTGTATGCATCGTCACAGTACAGAATGCTAGCCAAGCTCACGACCTTTCTCTCCTTATAACCATAGATGCCATTTCTGTGACACTTGTAAAACATCACTTTCTCAATTCTTGCAGTGGTATTGTCATTCTACCACATACCATTGTTCAACGTAATTTACAAACATGTGGTGATGACATTCTGGAACAGCTTGAACTCCAAGATCTCCCGATCCTTAAAGTAGATACGTATGTACTGCCTGCAGTTCAGAAGTCCGACAGGTGACCCCTACACCACAACAGTGTAGAAATTGCTGGCAGTTTGGCCATCTGGCGAAATATTTCAGGTCCATGGCTGAATGCCCAGTCTGTGGTGCCGATGACCATACCAATACATCTTGTGGCGTACCTCCCTCCTGCCTTAACTGTCATGAAGCTCATCTATCGTATTGTCGTCGTTGCCAGGTTTACTTGAACCAACATCAAATCTGTTGTTTCCAAGAGACAGAAGGCTTTACTTACGCCATGGCAGTCTCTCATCAATGCCTTCAGGGAAGACTGCCCCGTATTTCTTATTCTCGAGTTACTAAGAGACCTCCAACCTCTGGGGTCTCAATTCCTGTGGTCTCCCCTGCAATCACACCTTCTACAGTCACTTCTGTATCTAACTTTTCTGCAGTCCTGGACTCCAAGGTCCCTACCTCGTCACCTCCTACTGTTCTCCAATCTTCATCTCGCATGTAGCTTTGGTGTCTACCAGACCTTGCACAACAGCTCCTTTCCCTTGCCACTTTAATTCTTCAAAGTGTGACAAATTCCCAAAGAAGAAATCTTTCATTTCCAGTCTCAGTACCTGGATCTTGACCTCTTCCTCAACCTGTTGAGTGTGTGGAGGACCATACTCCGCCTCGTTCAGTACCTTCCTCTCCTGTCCCCTCCTAAGCTTCTCAAATCTCTAACCTCTCGTCTCCCCCCCCCTCCACGTTGGTAAATTCCGTCGTCACCCCAGTCTTTACTCACTCTCCTCGCTCAATCTCCAATGTCGTCCCACATAAAACGTCCTTGTTCTCTGAAACAATTGAAGCTATCTCTGACTACATTGCAGAGACTAAAACTAATGAACATTGATCCACCTCCTGTTCCTCCTCTTCACTCTTCTCCATCTGCACAACTGTCTTCGTAGCGTCCTAACCCTTCACAGCTTGTTCGTTTTTCGCTGCTTCCACATGTGGACTTTTCTAACCCTTCTAGTCCGTAGATAGCTCTACGTTCCGATTTCTTGTATCCTTCTCTTAGCAAATCATGGCTTATTTACAGTGGAATATCAGAGGCTTCAGAGGTGACCCGGGATGAGCTTCATTTTTACCTTTTGTGTATGTTTACAAGAACCAAAATTATGCTCCGCTATTATCTGTACCATCTTGGGCTATGTTTTATTATGTTTATCGGATCCTTTTCCCGATGGAACCTTTAATGGAAGTGCACTTCTTATATGCAGCGGTATTCCATACTATCAGCTCTTTGTTCATACTTCGCTGCATAACACAGCAGCCCGCATCCATTTGAATAAGTGGTATACAATCTGTTTTTTATATCTCTCTCGTTCTCGGGCATTATCTATCCCGGATGTTGCCTTTCTGGTTTCTTCCTTACTGCCACCCCTATAGTTACTTGGCGATTTTAATGCTCGCCATTTCCTCGAAGGGAAGGGGGTCTCACAGTGACCCTCACGAAATTCAGTTGGAGGATCTTCTCGCTTCTCTGCCCCTCCATGTTTTAAATACGTTTACTCCCACCCACTTCGATCCTCGTACTCAATCTCTCTCTTGCCTCGATATCTCTGTTCTTCCTCAACTGCACTAGACTTGGTCTGTCCTCCCGGATTTGAATGACGGCACTCATTTTTCAGTCATCGTTACTTCTCATTCACACTCACCACCTCCTCGCAACCCATGCTGGCAATTTGACCAAGCGAACTGGGACCTTTACTCACGTCAAACTACTTTTACTGAGAATCATTTTTCGTCCTCCGTTGATGAGCTGTTACATCTCTTCTCGACCTCAGTTTTAACAGCAGCTTCACATTTTATACCCCAAACCTTGGGTATGCATTCCCAGAGGTGCGTGCCTCGGTGGTCACCTGCCTGTTCTTAGGCAGTACGTTTGAAATGCGCTGCATGGGGAAGATGTTAATACAATAGGAGTACAGAGCGCCTCCTTGATTTTAAGCGGACGAAAGCAGCCGCCCACCGTGTCATCCGTGAAGTTAAACACGCTTGTTGGCGGGATTGTTTCTACCATCACTTCGGCTTCCTCTAAGAGTGCAGTCTGGAAAAAAGTACGGAAACTGAGTGGCAAATACACTCCCGACCCTACTCCCGTCCTTCAGGTTGCCAGTGTCGCTATAGCTAACCCTCGTGATGTTGCCACCGAACTTTGTCATCGTCTTATCTGTATCTCTCAGGAGCTCCATCTCTGCCCCTCGTTTCTTTCCTTCAAATCTGCCAGAGAGTTTGAGCCCTTCGATTTTTCTTCTAGAGGAATTGGTCAACACACTCAGCTTGCCGATCATCGGCAGCTGGGCCGGACGGCATTCATATCTGTATGCTCCAGCATTTATATCCGTCAGCCCTTGCATTCTTCTTACGTCTCTTTAATCCTATTTGGTCGCGAGGAATTCTGTCCTAGCTGTGGAAATCTTGCCATTGTTCTTCCTTTTCGTAAAACCAGGTACTTCGGGACTAGGTGCTTCTCACTATCGTCCCGGTGTTCTTATTAGTGCAGTTTGTAAGGTGATGGAACGTCGGGTTAAATAGACGTTTGGTATGGTATTTAGAGAAATAGTCTCTCCACTAGTCAATACGGCTTTAGTTAGAGCCGTTTTACTATTGACCCCTTATTCGGTTTAGATACGTAATGCCTTTGTCTAAAACCACTCGGACTTGCCTAGTATGGGCCAACAGGCCTCCTGCAGTGTTCCTTCTTTCTTATGTATCTCCAAGTTGTGTCTTACGACTTGGAGCTATAACATCTTGACCCAAGCTCACTTCTTAGGCCTCCGAGGCAACCTACGAATTTCCCTAAAGAACTTCTTATCCGAGAGACATTTCCTTGTTTGGGTTAATAATATGCTTTCCCTGGACTTTGTCCAGCTGAAGGTGTCCCCCAGGGATGTGTTCTGAGCTATAAAAGATCTGGCATCTATTCTTCCATCTAATATCTGGTCATCACTACGTTGATGATTTTTCTATAGCTTGTGCTGGTGCTGACTGTCGCCTCATTGCAGTTTCTCTCCAGCATATGGTCAACCGTGTTTCCACTAAAACAGTAACACACCATTGTACCTATATGGCTCGCCTATCCCAGAATGTGATACTGTCAAGTTTCTCGACCTTCTGTTTGACCGTCGGTTATCCTAGAAACCTCTCATTACCTTCCTGAAGGCAACTTGTCATAGCCGGCGGAACCTTTTTAAAACCCTCGCTCATCTTTCATGGGGGCTGATCGTAGAAACTCTCCTTCGACTGGAATTCTGCCTAATTTTATCGAAACACGATTATGGCGACCAGATATTCAGTAGCCTTTCCTGCAACTCTCTCTAGCCTTGATCCCATCCATAACCTGGGATTACGTTTATGCCTCGGTGCTTTTCACTCTTCACTTGAGAGCCTCTATGCAGAGGCGAATATTCCGTCCTTGACCAATCAAAGTGATGCTCATTGCCTCCGCTATTTTGTTCGCTCTCATGACCTGCGCAATCCTTCCATAATAGTGGATGTTAGTAGAAGTTCCTTATTTGTTCGCTGTCCCAGTTTACTCCGTCCTTTTTCTTTTCGTCTACATTTGATCTTGTCTTCAGTTGCCACCTTTCTATGTTTATGCAGCATCTACGGGTGTCCTGTAGCTCGGTCGCTAGCGCACTCACTGAGGTCCAGAGTTCGAATCTCCGGTACGGCTGGGAAACATTAGGACGTGTTTCCATAAGACACCTGCTGTCTATGTTCACCTATTAGTATAAAATGGGTACCTGGGTGTTAGTCGACTTGTGTGGGTAGCATCCTGGGTCAAAATTCACCTAATTTGCTCAAAATGCTCTGCATAACAAGCGGCTTTCTATATAGTAGTATGCCATTAACATCAGCTAGGCCTGTATACTTTGTACATGTACTTGTAGTAATAGATATTATTATTATTATTATTATTATTATTATTATTCTCCTCCTTTGGGAAGTTCTGACGGTTCGTGTCTGTTCCTCCCCACTGCCATGCGCGAAAGCCCAAATATCTAGGGCTGCTTCTCGCTCTTTTTCTTAATCACTTCTAGTCTCATTCTCGTGCCATCGCAGTGTACACCAATAGTTCCAAGTCTTCTGATGGTGTCGGATTTGCAGCAGTGTTTCCAGACAGCGTCGTACCAGGGCATTTATTATCCTCAGCTAGCATTTTTAAAGTTGAATTGTTTGCAATTCTCGTAGCACTTATCCGTACTGCATCTATACCTGTGTCACCGTTTGTGGTAGTTTCAGACTTCATTAGTGCTTTACAGGGCATACGAAAATTTGATTCGCCTCATCCCCTGGTTTTTCGTATCCAACTTTGGTCACACCGTATCTCCAGCAAGCACAAAGATGTTTTTTGTTGGGTCCCCGGTCATGTTGACGTACAGGGCAATTAACAGGCAGACACTGCTGAACGGTCAGCAGTACTTGACTTCCCAGTTTTCATATAGAGGTGTTCCATTCACAGGCTATTTTGCTGTAAATGCAAGCGTTGGCAACAAGTTGGTCGATCTGCTCCATAACAAACTACATACTATTAAACCGAGTATAGGTTTCTGGCCATCTTCTTGTCTATCCAGTGTCGAGGTTGGGAGACTGCTCACTCCCGTCTTCGCATCTGTAACACTTGTCTTACTCAAGGGTATCTCAGAGAGGCGCCCTGTTCCACTCTGAGAATTGTCAGGTTCCAGTCTCTGTTAGCATATTCTGTTGGACTGCTCACTCTATCAACGAGCACGCAGATTTACCTCCGACGTTTATCGCAGCTCTAACGCCATTACTTTATCTTCCCTTCTTGTGATGGACCTTCATTAACCCAGTCTCTTTCATTGGCTTTTTGACAGCAATGATTTACTGCACAAACTTTGATGAGGATGCCTCTAGCATTCCTCACAGCCCTTTCTACCTCTCCCTCTTACTACCCTCTACCCGACACACCCCTGCCCCCTTGCAAGGCATAACTTTATAATAATTCCTCTCCCTCTTTGCATACCCAATATCTTGCCACAACTTCCTGCCCTGCTACGCTGTAGGACCCTGTGCTAGTTTAGCGCTTCTTTTTCATTAATATTATGGAGTGGTTAAGTTGAGAAATCCTAGGAATAATTGGACTTTACAGTTCGAAATAATTGAGGAGATTTGTTAGATGATTAATGTTAATGAAGATAGGAAGCTGTGAGTCGTGCAGTAGGCAGAGAGGTTTGAAATGTTTTTTTGAGTGAGTAATAGTCAGTTATGAGTGTGGGGGAGGTGTGTGAGGCAAGAGTGAAAGAGGGTAAAATAGATGGATTGATAGGATCCAAAGACAGAAATGTTATAAGGCAGGCCTGGGGGGAAAATGTAGTTTTGGCATGGTTTGTACTTTTATTTAATATATTGAAGAGGGGGGAAGGTAACTAAGAGGGGTAAATAGTATGACATAGTTTCTTTGTATAAGGCAAAGGGGAACAAAGAAACTAAAA